ATTTGTGCGTTTTGTGACGTTTATGTGAAGCTATTCGCAAAAATAGCCCAAAACTATGAGCGGACAATTCTTGGTTTTTGCACTACATTAATTCACCATAGTATTCTTTGATACTATGTTTGCTACTATTATACTATGATACTATATGATACTATATATGTCTTCTGGTTATTTTCTAAGGTCAAGAGCCTGTTCCGGGAAAACCATTTCGACATGATTAAATAGATAAGAATGTAATTCTACTTTCTTTGATGACATTTTAAAAAGGCGATTTTCCTTTTTTCCTGGTTATTTCCAGGATTAGAAAAAAGGTTCACATATGTGTACTATATAAGGAGAAGAGTACTTTGAAGGAGATGTAATGGATTTAAAAGAATAAATAAAGGTTTAAAGAGTAATAAATAATTTTATATAATTTTTTGATTATTTAATGTTTTGTAAATGATGGCGTATATAGCACTGAACCTAAATACTAAAACATTTGATTAAATTTCGAAGCGTTTCGTCCGGCATCGCTTTAGACAAAAAGTGTTACTCTTTAATAAATATGACTTTTTATGATCAAATTACTTACAAATGTGAGCACATCTACATGAAATGAGAACCTTTAGGCACAGCCAAAAAGCATTAAAATAGTAGCAGCCAATAAGAATTGACTTCCCATATAACATGCCTGATCAGATGACATGACTATAAAAACTATAAAACTTACGAGATCTTACGCCATTTCACTGCCTGCTCAGCATAGCCCTTAAAGGATTGCAACATCGACTGCTCATCCACTCAACATTCATCAGTCATGTACTATTCATGCATATTGTTTCGATTAAACTTAAACTTAGAAGAATAAATGCTAATAATTATGCGAAAAACAAACAATAATACAATACTCACCCATATTTAATGTTCTTTTTAGATATTAGCAGTGAGAAAGGATATAAGTTTACGGTCACTTATTATTGTGTCAATAATTATTTTAAGTGTACGAATCGCTTACTATACGCTTACTATATACTATAAATAGAGTAAACTCATTTAAGCTTTCATTTTCAAAAGTAAAATCAAAAACGGTCGACGATAAACATGTACAGATGAGCTTTTTTACCATCAACTCTGACTTATATGTGTAAATCGTGGGTGCTGTTCACACGTCACTTCATCGTGGCTATATCGGTAATGCAAAGCACGGCTTATTTGTTCGGAGTCAACATAAATATTTGCGTTTATTATATTTAAGATTGTTAAAGCATCAAGAGTTGCTTCTCTTGCCATAATAAAGTGTAAATTTTATTAGTTTCACTGGAGTAAAATTCGCACACACAGAAGCTATTGCACTGAGTCATCACTGAGTCTCAGTTGGTAACGACTTAAGGTGAAACACCCATTTCTTGATATCTTATTTAGTAATGCAGAACACACCGAACTGTTTACTTTAACTTTTAACAAAGTCAATTGACAAATGGAAATATTAATTGTAAATTTATTTGATTAAGAACGACCTATTGATACGCTATTATTATTGTTATTAGTATGAGTGTATCAATACCTTAATGTTTGCATATATTATTTATACGATTAATCAAAAATAATATTTAAATTAACTATTAATAATATAATGGTAAAATAAAAATTAAGAATATATTGGACTAAAAAAATAAAATAAAATATTAATATTTAAAATAAACAATAAGTAATAATAATAAATAAATATTTAAATGAAATATTTTAAACGTTAGACCGATTCGAATAGCAAAGAAAGGCAAAGACAAAAATTTTTTTATTTAATTTATTGAAATTTGGCTGACCCATACAACGCTGTTTCGAGTATTGCCAAGTACTCTTCATCAGTGGTCTTTGGAAATAATCGAATTTTATTTAATTAGTTTATAGTCCGTATATAATTTGTTTGGACTGCAAGTGCCAGGCTTAGAACTATTTTAATATTATTGAAAAATATATTAATTAAATTAATTTTAATTTTTATTAAATTTTAATTAAAAACGATTGCTTGGATTCATGATTTCTTATGAAATAGTAATATTCTTAAAGAAATTAATATTAAACTTATTAATTTCTTAAATTTTGCTTACAATCAAATTTATAAAATATACAAGACCTAGCAATCCTGATATTACTCGGTCACCAGGTTCTTAATCGATTCTTAAATACACCATTAAGATAAAAATAATAAATAACTAACAAATACTACTAATAAATATCATTTCGCTATTTTCGATATACATATAAATTACTGTGTCAAATTAACATTAAATTAATATATTTGAAAAGGTTCTATTACTACTATATTATATTTTTGAGAAATTTCGATTTATTCCTAAAAAGTTGTTGAATATTTTAAAAAGTCAGCCCAAAAATATGCAGTTAAAAAATAAAGCAGTAATTGACTGTTTTCAAAAAAAAACTAGAAAAAGTATGCCTAACGTATAAAGTTTTATATATGTATAAATCAATTTTTTTGCCATTATAAATTGTTTATAATGTTATAATATTAAAAATTTTATATATTTTACATTTAGTTGTTTCAGTCTTTTACAGTTAATTTTTTACTAGAATTTTTAACATTTTTTCTGTGTGTTTGTTCAGCTATTATACATATGCAGAGAATGCAGTTCATCATCATCCGTGGCTATATAGTTTATGCAGGACTTAAACCTGTTTGACAACATTCCTCCTTTCTTTTCTGTTTTTAGCTTTTTTTTTCAATTTTTTATGTTCATTTCTTCTAAATCCTTTCTTCTAAATATGTTCATTAATTCTAAATCTACTGTGTTTCTGTCGTTTTCATTGTCGCTCTCTTCTTCTGCTGCTTCTTACTTCGTTCTCATAAATTTTAAGCGGTACTCTCATATCCGGCATTTTTATCACATGTTAAACCCATCTTAATCGTTGCTTTTTCATAAATTTGTTGATTATATCACCTTCAGTTAGCCGTTCTAGATCGTGGTTGTATCTTATGCGATAGATCCTGTTTCCTTTCAAGGGGCCAAAATTTTTTGTGAGTATTTTCCTTTCAAACAGATAATGCAGTTACCGTCATTAAAAAAAAAATTAAATAAAAATATTTGGAGGGTTCAGATTGCTCTAAATGAAGAAAAGTGTACGTTTCTGTTAACAATGTTCCACTAAATATAAAAAAATCAAATAGATTCATAACATAAAAAAAATATATTTTATTAAATAACAATTGTGTATTTCGTTTTTATTATTTTAAGTGGAGTGCTTCAATAAATCGTTGGTCTCATTAATATCAAATGTTTTCTAAAATTTTTCTTTGTCTCATATTAATTCTTTTTACATATTTATTTATCACGTAGTAGAAATAAAAATTCTTTTAATTTATATCTGCATTTGTAATAAATACAACAAAATCAACTGTGAAAGAGATATCTTTATCTACTATTAGTGAGAAATAAAATAAAATGTTTACTAAATGAAACTATTGCCATATTTTCACTTGTCGCATTTAGGCCATTTTGTCTTAAGGCCGCTAATGAGGTTAATTTATCATGAAGTTTTCATATAAACAAGCTCATTATAAATAAAGCAACTTTTTTAAGGCGGAAAATGTCGAATGCAACTCTTAAAAATAAATTTCTCAGAAGGAAAATTAACAAAATTTTAAATAATTCTTAAATTTTTTAAACAAATAAAAGTCAAGCTGTGAACAAACGTGCTGTGAAAGTAGGTATATAATAAAATCTTTGTTATTTTTCGTGCTTAATGTTTGACAATCATTGTCCATCTTATACATCTATATCTTTTTTTACGTATTTTAAGTATTTTTTTTTTTTTTTATTATTATTATTATATAAATACAATCTGTAAAAGAACATTCAGTATTATTTATGAACATAAAAATAGAAAAAGTGATTTGTAGACATGTGCGGGACACTCAGTAGTAAACACCGCTAAAGATTAAATTACAACTAATAATAATGATGACTAATAATAGTGAGTAAATAGTTGGCTATATAAATATTAAATTTCAGTGAGTTTACAATTACGATTCACGTGTTTAGGGTTCTACTTGGCAAGTCCGACGTAGAAAATCTTCTTAGTCGACGTGGATGATTGATATCTGATAGTAGCTCGTGTGCCAGTGGGTTCGGGTGATTTGATAGTCTTATACGATAGTTTTTGCTGACTGTTTGTATTGTTTCAAACACTGATGGGACTTGGAGATCGCGCTGTAAAGTGCTATTTGGAATATACCATGGAGCAGCCGCACATAAACGAAGTATTTTTGATTCAAATCTTTGCAATATCGCTATATTAGATTTTGCAGCTGTTCCCCAGATCGAGACACCGTAGGTCCATATTGGTTTTAAAATAACTTTATATAAAAGTAAGTATTGAAAAATTTTAAGTATTGAAATAAAATATTCGTACATCAACATCAATAATTCGTTAAAATAAATAGTAATAATAATTTAATGGATTGTAATTACTAAAGTTACAGGTTTCCAGTTGCCGGAGACTTGCTTTTGTTTACTGTGTGTACGATGAAAAGACATCCTGAAATTTCTTTAAAAAACTTACTCTCCTCTTTAGTCATTTAAGGTCTTCGTATCAAGAAAAAAAGAGATATATGCAGTCGGTGATCACTTCAGGCATCTTCATATTTTGTACATTATGTGGTATAAACTTTTCCATATAATAAATACAACGAAAAGTATTAGAATCAACCGTTTCAAGAAATTATATATATTATATTAAAAAAAATTATCTAAATTAAAAGGGTCTTGTAAAGTATTATATTATGTAATACTACATCTAAGCAACATATTTATTAAAAATACATATCTGTGTAAAAACAAAAGTCAAGCACTAATTTTATTTTTGTGTAATTTTTTCCAAATTTCCGTGTTTTTATTTTTAGTACAACGAATTTATATAAAATTTTTATTATTATTTTTTTAAATTCATTATGTGGGCGAATATGTGAAAGTTGCAGTAACTTTTCTTATGTGTACGTAAAAAATATCACACCCACACAACAATGTTGCCATCTTTTCCAAACAAAGATTTTAAAATTTTGTTGGATGGTTTGCCTAAAATTATTAATGACGTCATATGGAGAAGCGTAGTTTCAGTTCATTTTATATGACAAGTAAACAATAGTTATTTTTATTATTGAATTCATCTCTCTTGAACAACAAAGATTATCCAATTAAATTAGATAATATTTAATCAGCAGTTCAGTTGACATGGAAAAGGCTAGTGAAAATTTAATCATTGTCACAGGTTTTGGTCCATTTGGGGGATTTGAAGCAGTCAACCCCAGTTGGGAAGCAGTGAAGTTGCTGCCTGATAATTTCGAGTCCAATAAAACGCCATATAACATTGAAAAATTAGAAGTACCTGTTGAATATGCAGCTGTAGATAAGGCCATTGAAGAGATATGGTCGCGTAATCCGATTGTAAGTACAATTAATTCCCATAATTGCTTGTTGAGTGATAAATGAGTTTTTCATTCAACAGTTGGTCATACATTGTGGAGTGCACAGTGCAAGCAAATGCGTCTTGGTGGAAAAATTGGCGTATAACAACTGTTTTATGAGAAAAGACTTTTCTGGATGTACTTTGCAGAACGGTTCAGCGAGTCTGAAAAATAGCAAAACTAAATTCATTTACACTGGCTTGGATGTGAATAAAATTATTAAAACTATTGAGGAATGTCACTGTAAATCAGCTGAAGCTGCAGCGCAGTCGAGTCGTAATCCTGGAAACTACTTGTGTGGATACATATATCTAAAGTCATTGGATATCAATCGAAATCGCAGTCTCTTTGTGCATGTTCCGCAAATCGATAAACCATTTTCTTCTCAGGAGGTTTCAGATATGATTTTCAATATTGTTCAGGAATGTGTACGTCAAATAGAGGAAGACAATGTTTGATAGGATAAGTCTTGCTTTCTGCTGTTTTTATATTCGTTTGATGCATTTGAACAAATATTTGTTAAAAATTTTAAGGAAGTGTCTTACTAACAATTAATTATATATTTAATATTATATTATTATTAATAAATGTATTACTTACAATATTAAGTATTAAGAAAAATCTTTGTTCGCTTGTCTGGGCTCTAAAAATTACGATCGTGGACTGTTACCTGACAAGTATTACCATTAATCAAAATAATATGTTTGGATTTTTTTTTACTAAAATATTTTCAAATAAATAACTATTTCTGTGTTTTTAAAACAATGTGATAAAAATATTTGAAGAAACCAAATAAATAATTTATACTAACGTGCAATTGTAAGAATCTGTTTTATATATATGAGTGTTCAATAAAATAAATATAAATATATTATATATGAATTTAAAACCATCATCTCAAAAATTCATCAGAATTATTTCAGTTTGTTTTTTTTTTTAAATGCGATTTGTCGTTATATTTCCTCTTTGTTTTTAGCAAGTCGTCCATGCATGGCTGCCACATTTGAATATTTCGGACAAGAACTACTCCTCGGACAAGTATTTCGAATTAACATTCTATAAATAAAAAATAGTTATCATAAACCATTTGTTTCAATTCGAATATTTTTGTGTGGATTTTGTGTAGAAAATGACACTTATTACTACAAATTTTGTGGGTTATATTAGAAAATATCTTTATTGTAATAGTGTAAATGCAGTGTTAGTTATATTGTTAGCGAACTTCTCAGATTTTGCACAATTCTACAATAGATAGATTTTGTTGCTGGATCATTCGCGATTATTTTTTCCATAAAACTATTTTAATGCTGAAGAAAAAACGCGCTTGGATACGATTATATTTAAATTTGTAGTAATCGTAGGTAGAATAAGAATTGCTTGCTAAGTTGAGTATTTTTTCTATATCAGTAAAGAATATTGATTATAACAAATTTTTAGACAATAGTATATATGCCTGATTGATGTTATGAGCGTTATAGTTCATTCAACAGATGAAATGAATTCATGATTTGAAAAAACAAACTCATCTGTTCACACTTATCTGGCAATTCCATGCTTTCAAGACCGTAAAATTGATTACTGATTCTAACTAACTTCCCAACATTCTTATCGAAATATAGTTTCTACATTTTCAATAGCTAGAGCCAATATCGAAGCAATACCAATAAAATATCCTAGTCGACTAAATGTTTTAGTTATGGCATCAAAAAGTTTGGTTAGGTCTTCATAAATTACATATTTATCTATTTAGCCCTAGTGTCTTAAACGTCTCAGTTGCATTTTGAAACAATTTAGTGTGTGTGTGTATAGCTAATACTTCTACTTTATTTCTAAATTCAGTGTAAGTACTTAAAATTTCTTTTTAAAATCCCACCCAAACAAATTAGGGATATTCTCTCTGTTTTGCAACTTATTTCAAGGAGCACGAAATGAGTCATTGCAGTTTTGCACGAGTAGCAAGATTGCGAAAACACCTGTTGCAGAATTGCAACATCATAATGAAACAGCTGTTTTGCAGCATACTACATCAATATAAGAAGCAACAAATTTCAAAACAGCTGCTTTTTTTTTGTTTTGTTTCAAGCATATAGACATGGGTTTAGGTAAGGCAAGATTGCAAGCAATTGCAAGAAACTTTGTGCGTGTATTTTGTTGTTGTCCATTGCAATCTCGCGCAATTTGTGCATTTCGTGGAACTTGCAATGTGTTTGCAATCAATTTATTTATTATTCTAAAGCAATTTTGTAGTTATATTATTATTATATACTGAGTTATAATTAATATATATGAGTTATAGTTTAACTCATGTTTTTCTTAGAATATTTAGAAATATTTTTATAATTATTTGTTTATTTTTCTTCTCGTTCAACTTGTACAATAGTTTATTTAAGCCGTGTGCGAAGTTCGGGTAAATTAATGGTAAATTGAGGGAAATAGTAAATTGTCGGTATGGCAGCGATGTTGGTATTTACCAAAATTTCGTGTAGGATAAATTAGTTAAAAATTAGTTAAATTAGGTATTACCATTGTGAAAATTTTACAAGATGTTTAATAAATAAATAAATAAATTTGAAAACTTTTAACAGAAAAATAATAAATAACTGCAATAAATAAATATTGACATAGGTGCAGTCCAAAAAATCTCTAGCATATTTCAATTTGCTTTATCTCAATTTACTCGAACTCGCAAACGGCCTTAGAATTTTATTATTATTTAATAAGTTAGCATATAAGATATTGAATTTTTATAAATATTTTTTAATTGTATAAACACAATTCAAAACAAAAAAACATATTTTTGTGAAATATTATTAACATAAATTATTTTTTTTTTTGCCTATAAAACATGTATTATATCTAGATATAGAAGAAAGAGCGAATTAATATAGGCTTAAAATATATGTATGTAGGTGACTGGTGAAAGGGGGTCAATGATGAGTTGAAGTATTTCAAGGGAATATAAAAAGGGAATATTTAAAGGAATTAAAGACAAAACAAGACGGACTAGTCGGATAAGGGAGTTGTATAAAATCAACAGGACCTTTTAATAACAGCTTAATGGTAGCTATGGCAACGTAGTGAGGGTGGGCGGGTCCAGTCTACATTTATCGAATAAAATAACTGAACATATAACACCATGATGGAAACGTAGATTCGATAGAAATAATTTGGAAATGTTTAGATTTTTTTTCTAAATTTTTTTGACTTTCTTTTTTTTGTTTACTGTCCAAGTATGGTGGACTAACTGTTGCTAAGCAACAACTGCGCACATCTCACATAACATTAGGACACGTAACAATGATTTGCCTAAAATTACGTCATATGGAGAAACATAGATTTATTTCTTTTTATACGAGAAGTAAATAATAGATTTTTTTACTAATAAATTTGTCTCAATTTAACTTCTAAGGTTATTTAATTAAATCAGATAATATTTAATCAGCAGTTTAGTTGACATGGAAAAGACTAATAAAAATTTAATCATTGTCACGGGTTTTGGTCCGTTTGGAAGTTTTGAAGCAGTCAATCCCAGTTGGGAAGCAGTGAAGTTGTTACCTGATAATTTAGAGTTCAACAAAAAACAATATAAAATTGAAAAATTGGAAGTAGCTGTTGAATATGCAGCTGTAGATAAATCCGTTGAAGAGATATGGTCACGTAATCCGATTGTAAGTACTATTGTTCTATTGTCCGATTGTTCTATTAATTAAACAATTATGGATAAGTAATCCAACTTTGTTCATTGAATGAAAGTGAATTTTTTTAATCTATAGTTGGTCATACATTGTGGAGTGAACAGTGGAACTAGTTGCATCTCGGTCGAAAAATTGGCGTATAACAACTATTTTGTAGGCAAAGATGTTGCTGGGTGTACTCTGCAGAACGATTCAGCGTGTCTGAAAAATAACAAAAATGAAAGAATTTACACTGGCTTGGATGTGAACAAAATTGTTAAAACTATTGAGAAATGTCACTGTAAATCAGCTGAAGCTGCAGCTTTGTCCAGTGGCAATCCTGGAAACTATTTGTGTGGATACATATATCTAAAGTCATTGGATATTAATCAAAATCGCAGTCTTTTTTTACATGTACCGGAAATCGATCAACCTTACACTTCTCAGGAGGTTTCTGATATGATTTTAAATATAGTTCAAGAATGTGTACGTCAAATAGAGGAAAACGGTGTTTAATAGAATAGTTTTCTACTTTTTGCTATTTATATATATGCTTGATGCATTCGAAGGTATTTTTGCTATAAATTTTTAAAAATAGTATAGAAGTGTCTTAATAACAATTAATTATATATTTAATATTATAATATTTTCCATAAATGTATTACTTATAATATTATTAAGAATTAAGAAATATTTTATGTTCGTTTGTCGGGGCTCTGATATGAGAATCGCGAACTATTAGCTGACAGGTTTCACCTTTAATCGAAATATTATGCTTGAATTTATTCCTATAAAATATGTCATAAGTAGCTTTTTCTAATATGCTTAACAATGGAACAATGTGATAAAAATATTTGAAGAAACCAAATAAATTATTTTTACTAACGTGCAATATTAAAAATCTATATTGAATATAAGTCTTCAATAAAGCACATATTTATTTTATGTAACCATTAATTTTATTCTATTATATTTTATCAAATATTACCCATTAGTTGGTATTCAGCTAGGAAGATGCTTTCAGGAAATTGCTATAATCTGGTACTGCAATAGATGATATATTAGAACATCAAATACTTGAACAAGAACATTTTTGGAATATTTTATGTACTCTATTTTTTCTGTAACGGAGAGCATAAAGCTAATAAATAATTTTAATGCATGTTTTTCATTAATAATCTAGAATATTAAATATAAATGGTATCTTCACAAAAAATTAAAAACATATACAGTCAAACCTTTCTATAACGAAATCGTTGGTGCTTCGTTATAGAGAGGTCTTCTTCATAGAGAGGTTTTCGTTATAGAGAGTTTAACTGGGAATTATGTACGTATTTATATTAAAAATATATTTAATTCATGTTTATTCATAAAAGCAAACATAAGATTAAAAATATTAATCATATATTGGTTTATATTTCGAAAAATTATTTTTATTAATTACTGTTTCATTTATTATTATTTAGAATTTAAATTTTTTTAATTTATTATTTTATTAAACTCGAAAAAGTCTGCCATTTTTGCTTTTTTGAACATTTTAACTTTTTCCTAGTCAAGAAACTATTCCAACAAGTTAATAGACTCAAAAATTCCTAAAACTCTCTAAAAATTCCTACCTCTCATATTAAGAGTGGGAGCACAAACCTGTGTTTGGTGATCACTCTTTCATTTAAAATTTTTACTTTTAGCAAATACACATTATGGTAAAAGTCGCACCCTTTACCATTCCAATCGCGAGCCAAAAAAATCTCCATCACTGTTATAAACTGAATGACATATCCATAAGTTCATATCAAGTATGATATACATTAAGACCGAAAAGTTTTCGGAAATTCTCATTTAAAATTCGCGCGCTGTATATTTTTCGATATTTTAAGTTTATGTAGTTTGGCAGCAATTAAGGACAATTACTATGCCAAAAATGAGCGCGATCTGTCAGACAGTTCGTTTACGGCAGCTGTTGAAACCAGTTCACCTCAGTAGTGCTTTGCGAAAAAAACAATGGAAAAAAATATTGAACAAAGAGTTTGCATCAAATTTTGTGTTTCGAACGAAATTTCGTGTGCAGAATCGTTGCGAATGCTACAAAAGGCTTATGGGGAATCAGTTTTATCGAAAACTCAAGTTTATGAGTGGTACAAAGCCTTTCAGGACGGTCGTACGACCGTCGAAGACATTTCGCAACGCACTACTGAGGTGAACTGGTTTCAACAGCTGCCGTAAACGAACTGTCTGACAGATCGCGCTCATTTTTGGCATAGTAATTAAGGACAGTGCTGCCAAACTACATAAACTTAAAATATCGAAAAATATACAGCGCGCGAATTTTAAATGAGAATTTCCGAAAACTTTTCAGTCTTAATGTAGCGTGCAAAGAAGTTTCTCACGAGTTCAAACGTGCTACTTAAGTGTTAGTTAACTTGCATTTGAATAAATTTGGTATAGAGAGGTTTTTTATATGCAAAAATTTGTATATTTACGTACCTGAAAAATATTCGTTACAGAGATAAATTCGTTATAGAGAGGTTCACTATAAAGAGGTTCAAATACATGAAAACATTAAAAAATCCTTGTGTATTTGCTATTAAACTCTCTTCTAACGCCATAACAATATATATATGTATATGCAATACATACATATAACATATATATTGTCTATAGTTCGGTTCTATTGTAGTACACCGATTGCGCTTTTTTAGAAATAAAGAAAAACTATTTATAATGAACAAATACAGTAAAATCGAAATTATAATAGTATTCGTATTTACCAATTTTTTTATTACACTTACATATGTATATTTTAAAGCTGTGGACAACAAATTATGGAGCTGTTTTTTGTTAATATTAATGTGGAAAATACAATCATTGCGATACGAGATTACTACAAACAATATAATTTTTACACGTCAAGAACAAGAAAATAATTTAAAATCTTTGACTTCATCTTTAGAATATTCAAATTAAAAAATTTTTCAACCCATTTCATTATTATATTTAGTACTTTATTTCACTTATAGTTATTGAACTCATGACACCTATTGCGGATCATTTTTAGAGTTTATTAAGATACTGTAAATTTACTCTAAGCAATTTTAGAAAGTAAAGCCAGAAAAGAAACTGAAGGCAAAAAAATAATTATCCTAAATGAGTATTCATATTATAGGATATTTTAATTTATAGCATAAATTATTTAACCTAATTTAACAGTTTATTTTTGTGAATATTTGAATAAGGTTTTTATAAAGTCTTGAATTTTAAAATTATTTTTATATTAAATTCAAAAGACATCACAAAAATACTTGATGAACACATCATTGCATTATTTATTTAAATACCTTAGTATCAAGAGTATACATATATTATTAGTATCTATATAATATAGTGTACATATTCTATTATTATATATTATTTTATTATTTTACATTACATTACTACTATGCTACTTTAAAGTAGAAATTTTCATTATAGGTCAAACGCGATATATTTTACATAAAAGTATAGAAATTAAGGTAGAAATGTGTTTCGATCTATATTTTAATATATATAAAATGTATATTTAAAAATGTCAAAAAGTCAAATGCAACCTTGTAAATAATTTTTTTCTTGCAATTAAAAAATCTCCAATTTTCGTGTTCATCATCAAGTTTTTGTTGATTGTTGGTTGCTGCAGTCATTTTACTTTTAACTTTCGGCTTGCGAGGTGGACGTTTTCAAAGTCAAGTGCAGGCAGTGAATTTGTTAAAGAGCGACTTATAAAAATAATTAATATGAAGTTTTTGTTGTGTTCATTACTTTTTGTCGCCGTTGCCGCTATTGGAGCGCAAGCTGGTGAAATAAAAGCCGAAGAAGGAGTTTTGGTTTTAACTAAAGAAAATTTCGCTGGAGCAATAGCAGACAATGAATTTGTTCTAGTTGAATTTTGTAAGTACACAATCTATTAATATATATTTTTTTGTCTTCAAATGTAGTATATAAAAGAGTATATCAATATATAACATATATGCCGCAAACATATTGCTGAAAAATATATATAACATATTGCTAAAAAGTAAATATATAGTGTTTTTTTTTTAATTCGCTAAATCAATTGCGTGTTAATAATACAAAATGAAAATATTTTTAAAACGCCATTTATTTTATTATTGGATGGAAACTAATCTTTAAACAAAAAAATATATATACATAATATAACTTATATTAGCACCGGTGTGGTTTGTCTTAAAAACTCTACACGTCTTACAAAGTTCTAATGACGTGTCACTTTCTTTTAACACGTATCACTTTTCATAGATTGTGTTAATCTACAATATAAAAGCTTCATACATATTATTTAATTTTGAAAATAATATGTTTGTTTATATTTCAATCTATATATGTGTTATAATGCATATATACATATATAAGATTATTTTAGCTTACGTTTTTTTTTATTTGATTTACGTTTAATTTTTGGCAATTTCACCAAAACATGCCGGTTTGAGAATTAGTCAGAGTTGTATTAAATTTCATTTGGAGAGTTTTGTAATAATTTCGCACTACTAACTCATAAACAATTGTTGATTATCTGCAATTTTGCTCAATTATTTTGTATATTGTAAACGGAAGAACCCACGTACATCCGTTATTATAAGCACATATATATATTTTATATTAATATGAGTGTAACTATAAAAGTTTATACATATTATAATGATATATGTTTGTTTAATTTTATTATAATATAGATTGATTTTTAATTATTTATGTTAGTTAAAATCTATATGGTAGAAACACTATATTTGGAACTTTTTAACTATTTCATGATATTGTTAGAGATAATTAAAAAAGTACAATATTTTTGTTTATATATGAAAAAATATGCAATCTTGCATTTGAGATTAGCTGTGTCTTCTTTAATTTCTTTTCTAAACTTCTAAGATGCTCTATTTTGTTTATGCGGAGAACTTGTTCCGTGCTAACCAATCAGAACTCGACACTGCACAATTTTTTATCTCACAATTTTAGCTGTTTGTGCATGTGCTGGTGTTTTCTTGAGAACATAAGCCATATCCAGAAGAAATGACTTACGTTCATTAGTAGTTTATAAAATTATTGATTAAATTTTTTTTTTGTTAATTTTTTTATTTCGGAAATGTCAAGGTTTTATTCTTTAAAATAATTTTTTATATTGCCTTATCAGTTTTTGAAGTTGTTTTCTTCGTTCCACATAAATAGTTTTCTTAGCATATTTAGAAGCATATCACGTTTTCTTTGTACACTCGACTATTTTTTGTATCACACATTTTTAAATAATACATATTGTATGATATCATTATTATTATTTCTTATTGTATGTCATTATAGTTTTCTATTAGATTTGTATTTCATATTTCATTGTCAACGTAACGAGAGATGTACAGTGTGAACTGTTTCTTAGCATCTTTGTTGCATTGTTTTTTAAAGGCTACGTGTCCCAGGTTAATCACGATGTTTGTTGCCGAGAAGACCTAATCTTTCAAAAAAATCTACAAAGATTTTATTATATTTTTTATATATAAGTCAGAATATAGACACGTTTAAATATATGTCTATTATGGTACCATTATACGTATTATTTCTAATTATTATCAAACTTTAGCTAATATTTGTCTAAAAAAAATATAATTAAAATGATGCAATTATTTATTTTTTTGTTTTTGTTTTTTACTTTTAAGCACATTTTAAAAATAGAATTCTTCAATTATCTGTCACTATTGCCACGTAAGAATAATGCAGTTATATCAGCGAAATAAAATTTAGTTGACCCAAACCCTGAACCCTGCGATTGGAGATAAAATGTCCAATCTTCTAAGTACCTAATTAAGTATAAGATCATCATTCAAGAAATTAACGACTCTGCTATGCGTTTAGATTTCCCTATTCGTATGCCTTGGAGATATTTAATTATAAATCTTGTTTCTGTTCTTCTGCTCTGTTCTACTTCTTTAAAGATAAGTAGGATTTCAAAAGTAAATTGCTTTTCACATTTTTTTATTAATTAAGAAATTGTAAATAGATAGACATAGAAGATATGGCTATATGAATACTGAATGTTTTAACATTTAATAGATAAAGCTTAAGAATTATGCTTCGCCTTTAAAACTTGCTATCTGACATTTTCCTCTTAATAATTAAGAATTTTGGGAGCGGTTTATGATAAGATAAAAAAAAAATATTATGGCAAACCATAGATAACTTCTTAAAAATAAACTAGTTTATTTTAAATTAAATAGGCTACATGTTAGTTTGATCGATGATGTTGCAACTTTGAGGTGAAAAATATTAAAATTATGACCTGGTAAACATCATTTCAAACTCTTTAAGAATAAGCACTATTCTAAATTTGTTGTTGTTTTTTTTTTGTTTTTTGTTTTATTAGTAATAAATTGGAGAAAATTTATATGCGTTACAATAATAAACAATAATTTATTTACAACACAAATATAATACTTTTTTAATAAAAAAATAAAATAAAAACATGTTTTGTGAAATAAAAATTAGCAAAAAAAAATTCTGCAAAACAAATTTCATTTTATTTTATTCCGCAATATCTTTTTTTTTTTTTTCTTATAAATAACTGTAAATTATTCAGTGGCGATATTCTTTTGGCTTAGAAATTAGGTTATTACTTTCTTAAATTTATCTACGAGTCTGCGATTCTTGTACCGATATTTTCTCGTTTCTAGACATTCGCACACCAACACACAAACATTTTGGCCATCATTTTACAGGTCATGCCGCCGCTTGCAATAACCAACTTTACAAGCATTTCTACTGTGCATAGATGTGGTTGTTGTTGTTTTTGTTGCTGTTGCTGTGTGTAGATGATCATGTTTTTTTCTCTTTCCGTATTTTTTCGTTCTTCTTTGGTTAGTTGTTAGTTGAAGGGTTCATTCAACTTTCTGGTCATTACAAAACATTCTCTGCCATGGTTAAAGCACATTATCGACACCGTATAAACAATAATGTATGCATGTTGCCATTGTGTATTAAATTGTTTTTTTTTTCTTTTTTTTTTATATAAATTATTTAATTTAATTATTTATATATTAAAAAAAAAATAATAAATGATAAAGATAAAATTGTTTAAACACAGATGAAGGAAATAATATCGACACTTGAATTTATATTTAAAAAAAAATATGTTACTGATTTTACTTTAACAATTATTATTTAAATAAATTTCTTTGTTTCTATTTCCGTAAAAATTTATTATTGAGTTAAAGAAAAAAAATATATATTTTTCTAGTAATAATTAAAAAAACATTTTTCATTCATCTAAATTAAGTCCAATTTTTAAATACGATCAAACATTTTTTGGATCTAAGCATATATACTTATGGTACTTCTGAAGTTTATTTATTAGAGAAATACAAGATATTGAAGTTCTTGGTTGAGATCATTTTTTTATATAACCTATGGTAATTCCGGGATCTTATCTTAGACAAATAGATGTAGCTACTTTTTGAGATCTTCGTTTGAGAATAATTTTATGTTAGCAATATAATTCCAAGATTTCATTTTTAAAAAAACTGATTTAGCTTCCTTTTGCAAGTTTCTTCAGGTTAATGTCAGCAATGATAATTCAGTGGTCTTATCTTGTACAAATAGGTACTTTTTGAAGTATTCGTTTAAAAAAGTCTTATGTTAGCAATATAATTCCTAAGTTTAATTTTTAAAAAAATGGATTTAGGTGCTTTTTGCAAGTCTCTTCAGATGAATTTAATGTCAAATGTGGTAAGTTCGTAGTGTAATCTTTGAGAAATAGATATAGTTACTTTTACAGTTCTCGTTTGAGAAAAATTGTATGTCCGTAATGGTAATTCTAGGGTTTTATCTTTAAAAAACGGATGTAGGTGCTTGTGAAAGTTAAGGTTTATTTCAGCAAATTATTGTAAACTTATAAAATAAAACAATGCAATGAGAGTGACCAAAATTTCTGAAACCAGCGTTAAATAATTTTTGCTGACTCCCAAAAAATATATGTGGCAATAACTACTGCCTGATAAAAATTTAAATCAATCATTTGAACAGGTGGTAGTAGCTCATAATGTATAATACTTTTGCAATCCCATCATACACAACATCAAACTCTATTTGGTCAATAAGGCTTAACTACTGTGTTTGAGTGGATTAAAATGTTCTTTTATAATTGATACTGTTTTTATACAATATTATAATATACACATTAACCAATTTTTGTCACTATTACTCTGTCCGATTGACTTAGTCCGAGTGAGAAATATTTTTTTATAGATTTATGTTACAAATTAACTTTTTGTCATAAATAACATAAGTCGGATTTGGTCTCAACTCCATATCCATGAAATAAAAGAATGTCTATATTAACCCAACAGACGTCATAGCTTATGAAATTCTCTCACATATTTAGTCCTTCTCATTAACTTTCTCACTTTAAAAAAATACAAACTTCGTTTTAATCTTTTTTACTTTACAATGACTGCAAGTCTTGTCAAGCCGGTCTTTCTGCAAGCCCGTTTTGTCACTTGTACTCTACTCAACATCTTCACTAAACTTCAGTGATATATCTCTTGATTAAGTAGCGCTCGAAATATTTAAATTTGTTGACAACAAAATCCAGACGAAGCTTATAATTATAGAGCCAAAAATATTGGTTAAAAAAAAATATAATATTTTTAAATTAAACTTAAATATATTATATGCGTTAAATACATAAAATTATCTCTTATCTCTTTAAAGTTTAGTCAACACGTCTTATCTTCACGGTTCTTGATTGATATATTAGGGCAAAAGTTTTTATCAGCGATATTAAATCATTTGAATCTAAGTATTTATATACGTTCTAAATAAAGTAATGTGTCTATTAATATTTTCCGCTTGAAATAATTTATTTTATTTATTGAAGCGTATATAATTATTTAAACACTACCGACTCAATTAAAAAGTATATTTATTACTAACATTTAATTCTTTCTATTAATGTTAATTGCAGATGCTCCATGGTGCGGTCACTGCAAAGCTCTTGCTCCAGAATATGCCAAAGCTGCCCAGCAATTAGCTGAGCAGGAATCTCCAATTAAATTGGGTAAAGTTGATGCAACCGTTGAGGGTTCATTGGCTGAGGAATACCAAGTTCGTGGATATCCAACTTTGAAATTCTTCCGTAGTGGCTCGCCAATAGAATACAGTGGTGGTCGTCAAGCTGCTGATATTATTGCTTGGGTCACAAAGAAAACTGGTCCACCCGCCAAGGATTTGACTACTGTCGAAGAAGCTGAAAAACTCTTAACTGATAATGAAGTATGCAAAGCAATAAATAATTAAATATTAATATTTTAAGACATGTACTCGTTTTTTTTTAGATTGCCATAATTGGTTTCTTCAAAAATACTGAATCAGATGCTGCTAAAGCTTTCATCTCAGCTGCAAGTGCTATGGATTCATTCATCTTCGGTATTACTAGTAATGACGACGTGATTGCAAAATACGAAGTTGAAGATGGTGCTATCGTTTTGTTCAAACCTTTCGATGAAAAGAAATCTGTCTTCCAAGGTGAAGTTGCTTTGGATAACATCAAGAAATTCGTACAAGTGCACTCTCTGCCATTGATTGTTGAATTCAATCATGAATCAGCATCTAAAATCTTCGGTGGTTCTGTCAAATCACATTTGCTATTCTTCGTTTCAAAGGAAGCCGGCCATATTGAGAAACATGTTGAACCTCTCACAGATATTGCCAAGCAATACCGTGAAGATATCTTGTTCGTTACCATCTCATCCGATGAAGAAGATCATGCTCGCATATTTGAATTCTTCGGCATGAATAAAGAAGAAGTGCCAACTATTCGTCTTATTAAATTGGAAGAAGATATGGCTAAATACAAACCCGAATCAAAAGATCTTTCTGCTGATACTATCAAGGAATTCTTGCAGAAATTCATGGATGGCAAACTTAAACAACACTTGCTGTCACAAGATTTGCCTGAAGATTGGGACAAGAACCCCGTTAAAGTTTTAGTTGCTAGCAATTTCGATGATGTTGCTTTAGATAAGAGCAAGGATGTTCTTGTTGAATTCTATGCTCCATGGTGCGGACATTGCAAACAGTTGGCCCCCATCTACGATCAATTGGGTGAAAAATACAAGGATAATGAGAGCATCGTCATTGCAAAAATGGATTCAACAGCAAACGAATTAGAGCAAATCAAAATCTCATCCTTCCCAACAATCAAATTATTCCGCAAGGGTGACAACAAAGTAATTGATTACAATCTAGACCGAACTTTTGATGATTTTGTCAAATTCTTGGATGGTGGCAAAGATGAAACAGAAGAGGTAATAAGAAATTTCTCATCCATTATTGCGTTTTGTTACTAATTTTATATTTCTTCTAACACAGGTTAAGGAAGACGGTTCTGAAGAAACTGAAGAAGAAGAGGAAGATCTTCCCAAGAAGGATGAATTGTAAATTAGTTTTTCATAATATAAATACAATAGTAAACAAACTACTACCAACAGCAAAACCACTCAAAGAAACATTCTTTTTGTATAGATGCATTTTTTTAAAATAATTTTCTTAACTAAATTGTTCTAGCCTTTATAAGTAATTTTTAAATTAGTTCGCTCTCTCACTCTCTGAATAACTTCTTTTGTTTAATTTTTTTTTATGAATTAAAAAGTAATTATGTTTTTTGTTTGATGCATTAAATTTTTAATTAATGCGAGACAGAGAATAGAAAAAGTGCGTATATAGTTGATCTATTTTAGCAGAATTCAGTAGAATTATGGTAAATACTTAAAATAAGTTCGTTCGCTTTTATCTAAAATGAAGCGGATGGAGAGTTAAGAGTATAACATGAATTTTTTTTATTTTATTATTAAGGTTTTTTAAACTTCCAACATAATTTGTAAAAATGATTTCTAATTGTACATTCAAATTATACTTAAAAAGAACTGATTATAAAAAATTGTAATTTCAACAATTAAAGGAAAACTTAAAAATAAAATAAAAATTCTACAAACAAATTTTCTTATTTTATTTTAAATATAATTTATTTATAAATTTTTATTCAAGTGTATAATATGTCTCTGGTATAACCCGCTGGGACGTGCTTGTGAAGTAATTTTGGGATGTGTCAAACGCCACTTGGACGTCGCAAGAGATGAGTGGCTCCGGAATGTATTTATTCGACAGAAGTTCTTATATTCAACAGATTTAAAATATTCATGCAATTATAGTTAGACAATACGTCAAATGGGTTTGTATAATATAATTTAGTTAATAGGCAAATGATCTTTAGAACCTTACTATGAAGTGCTTGTCCTAAAGATTAATATATTAAATTAAAATGAACACTCTTAACGGAAAGAAAACCTAAGGTTTATAAGTAATTTAAATATAGTCAGTCACTTATGTTGGAGAGCAGAACAAAAAGGGGTCCAGAGATTATTACAATAGATTAATACGTAATTAATACATAGATTAATTACCAGCCGGGATCTGAAAAGAAGAAAACATGTAAGGATTACGAGACAAATACATGAGTAGAGAAGTGGAAGGATGGAATTAGAGTTAGGGGATAATGGGAAGGGTAGGTAGAATGGAAAACAACCATCAATACATCAATGTTGGTATAGACCGATTGCAATAGTCTTTTCACAATTCATATCTATGAGATACTTTACGTGAGTTGAAGTCTTACGCGGATAATGTAGAAGCATTCTACCTACAGAAAAATGGAATAACATTTTTTTCGCGGATTTTAAACAGTAAACGCACACTTTAATTAAAGCTTAGTTACGCTAATTTCACATGACCTCTATTAATGCATTTTACGCAATTAACTTCGTAATTGTGTAACAATTAGTCATATTTACGGAAAGGCAAACGAAACAATAGAGATACAACAACACAATTATGCAGAAGATTTCAGTTAGAAGTACGGTTTATCTAATATTTAACATTTTAATACAAAGTTTTCATAAAAAAAAAACTAAAACTATGTCATTATTATTGAAAATTTGTTGTGATATTAATTAAAATTTTTTGTTTGGTTTGGCGTTTACTAATTGAGTTGCTATTATGTAAACAATTATGTTAATTAAGCAAAAATGATAATTATGAAGTGTAAATATAGTATTACAATATTTACATTTCATAATGAACTAATAAAAACAGCTATTTTTGTGAAACTTAACTAAAAATTTTATTTTAAAAATTGTTTTTTAACTAAAAGTAAATTTACTTTTAGTTTGAAAAACGTAACAAAAATGAAAAGTAAAGGAAATATCTTAAAGAAGTCAGATATGAATTAAGTTCAATGTAATTAAAGTAATAGAATTTCATATAAAATCAAATAATGTATACTATGTGACATATTTTTTCCTTTTTAATAATTATAAAAATTTGTTTATTTATATTTAATATTCGTTTATTATCTATTATTTTTATCCACGATAATCTTCACGAATTATATTCAAAAAATGTACTTTGTTAACTTGGACCATAAAAAGTTGGTTTAAGCGTAGGGTTAGGTAGAAATGGTCTAATGCGTTAAAACCCACTTGAGTGCAAGTAATAGCCTACATGGAGAATGTTAAGAACTACACTAAACCCCCATTTAAAAAAAAATAACCAAACTGACAAATTCATCAAATAAACTATTGTCATTTTAAACTCCATCAGGTCGGCAAGAAAAGGGCCCCATAGACATTTAATCTTCTATTGGCCAAAGATGGCTACAGATACATAAGGTAAAACACAGTCTGCTCATCCTTAAAAGTTTCACAATTACAGCAAAAATCATTATAGGTAGATTATATCGCACTAACTGTATTCCTAATATGCAATGCTCTGTTAAGACTGATTCTGTAGTACTCTCTGCAGCGTTTCTTTAGAGACTTAGATTAAGTAAATTTTTTTTATCTGACAAGTATCTTCACCTATCCAGGATTTTAAACTATCTCTATGTATCACTTTTAACGGTAAACTTAACCGCTGAAAGCAAATTACCAATATTCGAAAAGTGAACTTAAGATTAAGCGACAAGCTAAGTCCCAATTTCTACTTTGGAGACGACAGTAAAAATATCAACTGTGAGATTAGACTTTATTTAGATTCCAATCGTCTCAATTGGGTGTAATCCGATTGAGCAAATCCGAGATCAAGGTTTGAGTAAGAGCATATGTGGTCAATTGAAACAGGGACTGGGCAGAGTACAAAACGATAATTTGCCATATCAATTTTGAATCTGGTGAGAGCGTTGAGTCTGGTTGCCACTAATTTGACTTGCTGTTTTTACAAGGTCTTGTTCGGTAGACGTCATTAGTTTTTGTTTAAGCAACTTTCTGAAGCTAACATTTTCAGTTGTTTGCCTTCAAAAAATAGGATTAGTTCAATATTTTTGCTGTGAAGAAACAAAGCACGGTTCCAGATTGAATACCCCATCTGTTACCATTTAGAGTCCGTTTTAGACCAGTTGGCCTTCCAGCGAAGCTTACAGACCCTGATAAGCCAAGTTAATGACAATCTTAGTTGAGGAAAAGCAAGAATTTTATACTCTCTACTAAAAACGTAACACCTAGATCGAACTCATTGCATTATTATGGCGGAATTAGAGTAAAGCGTTTATAGCGTTAGATCATACCTCGGAAAATTAATCGGAAACTACGATAACAATGTTATCTATATAAACTGTTATTGTACAACGCTGGACCCGGATTGCTTCAACAATTTAAGCATTATTTATCACCCTTTCTACAGAAAAGAAACACTGCCATGTGGCTTACTACCCTTCGAGAAAGAACATTCGATATCGGAGATGATAATTCAAGTTTTAAGTTTTCTTCCATGTTCAGATTTGAGAGGTCAGTGTAAATATTCTTCAAATAATTTTACTTAAAAGTACTTCATGTCTTCTAAAATCAGTTTAACATCAATTTTCGCAAGAAATATATTTTTTAACCATTATGTAAATACTTTAATCTTCTAAAGGCTAGTTAGCAACAGATACTAACCTAGCGCCTACACTAACTAGATGTTGGCAAGATTTTTTTATACATTCAAATTTATTTACTAACATGTAACAAGTTTAATGCACAAACAAACTTTAAGTATAAGGCTGCGAATCCATTACATGCGGATTTTGTCTTGCGTATTCGTACGAACAAATGAAATGCACGTAATCATGTGTGAGTGGTGTAAACTTCTTTGATTAAACAAAATATTTTATTTGAAATTCATTCATATTCGTGCGAAATTGAAGTAATCTAGAAGTAATGAAATAAAGAGGGGTGTGTTGTTTCAAATAATTTTTATATTATAGATGGAAATATGTTTGCAAACATATATTACTTTTAGAAAATGAATTGAGATTCTTTGGTTAGGAAGATGCAAACTTTTTACTTTTATAACACAGTGAATAAAAATCATGTGCCAAAATTAAATGTTTGTTTGACATTTAAAAGTAATTTAATAACAGATTTTCTGCTAAATATATTCTATCTTCACTATCCATTTTGTGTTTAAAATAAACAAAGCAGAACTGTCAGTTCATAAACAAAGCAACCGCAATATGCGACGTATTCGTACGAAAAACATACGTACGTTTTCGAACGCAAAGTAACCGCAGCCTAATACGTATTTGTTTTGAAATATAAAAATATAACGAAACTTTAGCCAGTGTAGACACTTAGTAATTCCATATATTTTCGTGCATATCAACTTTAAAATTAAAATTAATGATTTGTCTGTCAACTGCAGAACTTTAAAATTTTGTGTTTAAAAGCTCCTAAAATTGATTTCGAAATATGTTTGAATAAAGTTTGTTAGAGTAGAGTTAGAGTACCATTATTATAATAATAGTTTATATTACAACTTGTGTGAATGACTCCATTGAGGTGCGAACGCTTGCGAACGAATAAACTTTTGCAGGTACAATTAACTACGAATATTCGTTCGTTTAATTCAATATTTAATCCAATATTCGTTTGGATTAAATTCTAGACATTATATGTTAAATAGAGGCAATTAAAAATTTATTTTTGTCTTTTCAAATTGATATCTGAAATATCTCTACAGATATGTTATATAAAAAATGCAAAAACGCGATGTTGTGAACGTGTTATTATTATTTCTTAACCCTTAATAAATGCTTAAATTTATTTGGTAAATAAAAGCAATAGTTCATAAATATTTTATCAATAACTTCACTAATGGCGATTTCGATTAGTAAACCTGAATTCAATCTAGATTTATTCTCTATCCCTCCAATTTTGTTGCCTAATAGAAATTTTTAGAGTAGTCTAACATTTTTGTAGTAGTATTAGCAGATATTTAAATTTTTCATAAACACATATATCAAATCTAATCACACTTAAACTGTCAAATCATATAAAACAGCTGTTAATTTCTGACAAAATATCTATGGTGTTATAAAGTAATCTTGAGTGTTGTATGTTTTGTCCCAGATTTACCAATTAAAAATATGATTGCACTAAAGTGTATTAAAAGAGCATATCGATTGAAAAATTTAATTCAGGTTTACCAATCGAAAACGCTATATAATTAACTATTATCAAAAAATCAAATTTATTTTTTTTGATGACAACGAGTTTTTGACGAAAAACAAATTTACATTATGAGATTAGAGTTAATCTGCATTTTTAATCTCCACCGTTTACATTATACATTGGAGATTAATTTTGCCGTTTCTCTTGTGTTTTGTTTCGTGTTTGATAAATTTTTGTAAATAAAGCATTTAATCACAATTTTGTACAAAAAAATTGTAATATAAATTCAATAAATAGTTTTGTAACAATAATTTAACAAAATTTCTGTACAAAACTATTATTAAACAAATTTATTAAAATTTTACTTTCTTCGGTATTTTCAAACTTAAAATAGTATAGAATAGACTTTTTCCTCTAAGATCGTAAAAAAAATCTACGATATTAAGACATTTGCAGAGTTGCACAGAAAAATAATTACCACTTCTAAGGAAATTAATCTCGACGAAAAGGAAATAAACTTTTGTATGGGGAATCGGTTATTGTTTAGTTTACTTTTAATCTCACAATGTGAACGCTGTATTATTAAATTAATAAATCAATATTTAATATATTTTACTTATGTTCCATTTTTATTTATAGTTATTATAATTTAAAGTATTTGTAAAAATATTTGTTTTGCCAACACTGCATTTGTTCTGTGGAAGTGATTGGCAACGCTATAACCTGAAAATTATACAATTAAAATTGGAAAGTATGAAAAGCGGTTAGGAAAGTAGAATATAGAGATTTGTGTTTTGCTCTCTATGTATGTCTATATACGTGCAATGAATGTTTAAAAATTAATTTAAAATGTAACTTATAAAATTCTTCTTATAAATAATATTAAGGTAAATAGAGAAAGGTAATTTCACTGCTCAAATTTCAGCGATGAAAATGTGAATTTTGTTACTGAAATCTGAGACGCCATATTTGTTTTCTGCCCTATCTAAATTTTAGGTGAAAGAAGAATGAAAAAACAAAACAATAAACAAAGCGGAAAATATAATTTCCAAATATTTAAGTAATATTATTTAAATTTGTTAATGATTTAAAAGTTTACTTAATGTTATATTAAAATTTCCTGCTAAATTTGTTTCTTTCGTTGCTATTTCACGTTTTTCGGTATAAGTGAGTTAATTACTTTCCCACCAAGCAACAGAGAAAATAATTTTGTGTATCAAGAATTAGTACCTGTGATTAGTTTATTCTATTTTTAAATAATTATGGTATTTATATATATGCAAGTATGTACAAATGTTTTTATTGAAAATGTGTGTCCGCACCAATATATTTTGTCTATCAAATTAATGTTTCATGTGCCTTTCAAAAATAAAAATTATAAATTTAAATATAAAACTGGAAAAAATAATATCTTCAAGTTATATTTATAATAAACCGTAAAGCTAAAACGTATAATCTTTTTGTTACAGAGGCATGAGTGAAGAACTACAACAGCAGAAATGCTCCATGAGCCTTCCTGCATTAACAAAATCGCTGTCAACACTTGCGGCGCATTCGTTAAAGCCTTCTATACCTCAACCATGTGCAGCTCGTACAATTCTATTGACCGCTAAGTCTACCACTCTTCCTGCACAGCATAAACAAGTGGCGGGTCCACTGCAGCAAATTTTACAACAAAAAGAGGACGGACACACACTGAACGAACAGTTCAATTCTGACACAACAAACACAACAACTCCAAATGAATATGCGGAGAGTATATATTCCTATCTTACGGAAACGCATCGACGTTTGCGTTATTCCATAGCCTCAATTGGAAAAATCGGATTTCCTGATAAATTGCTAAGAACCCTTAAATTCTTTACAGAGTAAATATTACCAAATGATGCATAAATATTTGTTTATTAATTAATAATATTTTTTATTTTAGTGGATGTCGGGAGGCATTTAAAGACGCAAAAACTTCGAGCTTACGTTGTCGTATTTTAGCAAGAAGTATGACAAGAACAATGGAATTAATACAAAACATCAGTTACGTTTTTATTGACGAATTTTCCACATGTTCAGAGGAATATTTTTTCTACATGAGTGAATTGGTAGCTTTATATATTTCTTGTAAATTAAATTGCGCCAGAGACTTCAAGGATCACAAAGATATTATCTGTAACAGAATATCAAATACAATACATAGACATCTTATAGTGCCTGATGAAGTATGTAATTCATAATATTCAATACTAAAAGTATTACATTTTACCATATTTTTCTTTCTCTTTTTTATAGGAAGTAACGAAAATGAACTTGCTTCGTATGTTTGTATTTATACCTGATATGTTCGAAGAACGAATGGTAATGACTACGACTATAAAGTAAGAAATGTATACCAAATACCAAATTTTATTTCTGTTTGTAATAAAAATTTTTCTTTCAAAGAAAATTCTTACCTAAACCACCACTAAACTGTACGCAACAAGTAATGTCTGATAAACTCTACATACAATACTTAATTGTATTTCATCAATGGAAACTACTAGAGCAAGATTTAGAGCAGCAAATTCGAGTGCTCAATTATGCTAATTCCTTCATGCGTCCTTCTGGCTCTTTGCGCTTCAATATTCATTACAATTACTACTTACCGCAATATGATGCTTTGCGTACGGCTACGAAGTATATATTAGAAAATTTGAACTACTTTACCGAGCTAAGAAATGTATATGTGAATGAAGTTTTCATATTAAATTACATATTTGACAAATAATCCTTTTTAATTGCAGGCATCCATTAAAGATAATACACCAAATAATCAGGATACCATAGTGAGTTTATAACATTTATAGTAGTACAACTTAGTTGCAATATGCCATGATGTTTAAGTAAAAGGTCTGATATTATAGTAGAGTTGAATACCAGTTGCTGCTTGAATAGTTATTCATTTAAGTTTCAACTGGCTTTCTTAATTCCTTTAATAATTGATAACAAATTGTACTGAGCTAATTTTTATTTTTTATTGCAATTAAGTTACATGTTTAGTTCAATTAAAAAAAATTATATATTTTATAGATTCTTGATTTTGAGGAATTGGTTGACGAATCTACAGATGAATTTAGTTTTGCGGACGTTGTTAATAGTAGTGAAATACCACCAATGAAAAACACCAAACCTGTAAAATCGGAGTATGAGATAGTATATGATACAATAGATTTAACATGTGACAACGGTGTGGATGTGAATAATGAAACAGATTGGTTGCATAAGCTACAACAAAGGGTTTGGATGTTGCAAACAAAACCAGTATGTCCTGCCGCGGTCGAAGTAATAGAAATAAATTCAGATTCCGATGATGAAACGGATTTAGTTAATGTTAATGAACCTGAGTTATTTTCCTTGGATTTTGTTGACTTTATAAATTCTAATGAAAATTGTCCTAATAACTTAGCTGAGGATAATCTTTTTGATGATAATCTGCTATTAGAAAATGTTAATGAAGACTTAAATGAAAAGTTGCTGACCTCGCCGCGTATACATCATTCCAATATTCGAACGTATGCATCTCCGAAAGAAAAAGGAAATATGTTTGAACGAAGCCCAACAGAAAAATGTCCATATTCTGAAAAATTGGATTCTAAAAGAGATATACAAAGTTCAACAGCAAGTGCTACCATACTTAAAAACGATCAAACATTATTAAACAAGGACTCCTATAATCCTGAAACTGATATTTCTTCCGTAGTTCCTAATTCACATGCTAAAACTAATTTCTCCATGCCACGTATTGTGGATAGTTTTTCATACCGCCCTGACAGCTTACATTTGCTAACAACACCATACAGATTTGGGTTACTTGAAGATCAACACAACCAGATTGATGAAGACTTTCCCAATTCAAATAATTTCAAGCATTTTACATATGCTACTCAAAGCGACTCAAATAACCATATATTCTCACAAAATACTAGTCATGATCCCCAAATACCTGTAACAAAAACTGCTCAATTAAGTGTAAGGAATTCCATACCTGCATTAGTTGCCAAATCCGTAAGTTGTTAATAAATAAAATCCTCCATAGAATTTTAAATAAATTATTTTGCAGATAAAGAGTGATGCTGTTAAAAATAATAAAATAAAAAAAGTGAAATTTAATGAAACTCCCCTTGGACCAACTCCTACAAGCTTCAATGTACATAAAGAACCACCAAAACCTGCTATAAATAAATCAATAGTTAATAAACATTATAAGACTACTTGGCAACGTTTTGCGTGCCTATCACCAGCTTCGTCGACATCTTCCTCGTCCACTACGAAGGGTAAAAAAGGTATGATAAAGAAATATTTAATGTTTATTTTGTTTTTCTATTAAATAATAAATATTTACAGAGAGGATCGAGGAGTTGCCGTCATTGTTTAGCAATTATTATGAGACTAAAGCTATAAATATGAACAATTATAATCAGAGAAACGAAAACAATAATAAAAGGATTTTAGATTTGCAAGAAATGAGAAATGATCCAAAACTAAAACAACAGTGTAGAGTTGTTATAGAACGTGATATCAGTTTAGAAAATAAATATAAAATTGGAATTTCATTACCAAAATTCGCACTTATATCTGAACAGAAATGCAATAATTTAATCGACAAAAATAAAAACAAAAATATGTCGCAGAAGCGAGTAGATCTTGCCAAGAACAAAGTAAAAAAACGTGTAAGTGCGGTAAAAAAGAGAAAAATAAAATGTGAAGTAGAAATAAATATAGTAAATTCCGCAAAAAATCTACAAAATGATGAGGAAAAGATAGAAAATATAAATAGAACTAAGTCATTAATTTGCAAAATTGAAAAGACTTCGAATATAGAAAAGATACTGATGAATAGAATTGGTGTAAATAATTTTAATAAAATCAATAATCAGCTGAGTAAAGAAAATGTTGAATGTATGAACCGAAATGCCCCAGAAGACAGTGCAAGCATATTAACTGAGAGCAAAGCAATAGCAGAAAGCTTAAATACGAGAGAAGAAACCGCCGTAAATACGGAACCTATTGATACACATTGTAATGTTATGGCTTCTTCTAAGACAGTGAATGAAATATCGCAAATAAATTCGGAAGAATACGCGAAAAAGCATGAGTTAATAAATAGTATGGAATTATCTACAGAGATTTCGATTGCTGCTTCTAGTCTAACTCTTTTAGCAAATATGGCAGCAACTACAGCACCTCTGTCTTCACATGGAGAACAAAAGCCAACTAATCCTGTTTCGTTGAAAAATGATGAAACCTTAATACCGATTGCAGTGACAGTGCAAGAACCTTTACTAGCATTGTCCTCTACTAAAATCAACTGCGATGAAGTTGATTCATTACCAACGATTGTATACCCTGTAAAGTTCAATGAAACAACAGAGTCAAGAAATAAAGAGGAGCTCCTGAATATTGAAACAACGCCTACCGTCCCACCTTACTTATTTAATGGTGAGAGCAGAGATGTACCTACACCAACTCTACCTACTTTGGCAGAGCATATAGAGAAGGTGCCAAACGAATTTCAAAATGCCATAAATGATAAATCTCCAATTCAAACGTCTGATCATGAAGTTTCATCAACTCAGGAAATACTTCCTGATACATCATACCGCAACCCAAGTGGTATCTTAACAAAGCAAATAGAAATATTTAGTAATGCTGCGATGTTAGTTCAAAACAATCAGGTTGACACAACTCATCATTTGCCAGAATTGAGTCATAATCTACGCAAGCGCACACCGAAAACATACGAAAATATAGAACTGTCCACTACTGAATCAAATGTAAATATGGATATAAGTCCTGCTGCTGTCAAAACACCAGAACAAGGTGTGAATCATATAACATCTAATGGTGGTAGCTCTCCTTCTACTACAACTGCTAACGACGAAATACCAAAAAAGCAAAGGCGTCGTTTGCCGAAAAATTTGAAATTTGGTCATAAAGAATCCAAACGTGAAAATAGTGGTATCAAAACTGGTGATACGTTAACAGGAGCAAAAAAGGTTAAAAATAAAATTTCACCTGATAACATTTTAGACAAAGATGTGTCGTTACCGGAGAGTATAAATTTTGAGAAAAACAGTTATTACTACATAACGAAGGAGGGTGTACGCATAAAAATTATAACTAAAAAAGGAAAAGCGTTCAAAGGATATACCAGGCGCAAGAAAAAGTGACAAGACGTACATTTTGTTAATAGAAAACTATCGACCTTACTGAAAGCCCCACACCCGCGTCAACTTAAGATTTTAAGTTAAGATTTTAATGCTCATTAGTCTTACGGTCAATCGTTTTATTTCATGTTTTTTTTAGCTAAATATGTTTCTCATATATTATTTTGGTCTTTATATATACATATGTGTTTATGTTCGATACTACTGCCAAAAGTTATATATTATAAACACATGTAAGTAAAGTTATATGTACGTATATATTTTATGTTAGTAAAATAATAGGCCAGTTTGTTATGTGTAAGATAAGAACTGTTAAAATTAATCAAAGGTAACTTACGAAAGTATACAATACTTCTACAATTGCCTTTCTTAGTTAATCACTTAAGTTTATGTATTAAAAAATTACCTTCTATGTGCAAATATTTTAGCGAAACATGTTTAAGTATTTTCAAACTATACATATATAAAGAACTATTCTGAAGAATATTTATTAAATAAATTTAGATTTTAGGAATTAATTATTTCTTTTTAAACATTAGATCAAATATAAGCTAATTATGTGTTCGAAACTATTTTACTGTTAAAAAAGAATATTAACTTAATACGTTAAATTTAAATTAAGAAATTTTTATTTTAAATATATATTTTTTATATATATACATGCATGTCGTGTACCCATGCACCTGCGGACATCGTATCTATATTAAACATAAAGTTTTATAAAAACAATTAATATATTTTAATTCATAAAATAAAACACTGTTTGTGTATATCAAATGATTATATATATGTAACTAGTAACAGTTATCGTGATAATTTAAAATTACAATATTTAAAATAAAACATTTCGGATTCCTTAACTAATGTAAATCAAAAATATTTGTTTAAATTATTAATTAAATTAAGAAAACATTTGGAATTACTAATCTATAGTAAATACTTCGTCGTGTTTAATTTGTTATTGGTGTTTCCTGAGTAAGTTAGTGTTCTTTATATATAAATATATATATACAGACGGTACGACAGCGACGTGAGTTGCAATAGGAGTCGATGTCTAGTAACTTTCGGCATAAAACCAAGATGCTATCGGTTTGGTTTAGGTGGAGCTTTTCTGCATCTGTATTTTTAAATTTGTTGTTAATTTCAGAAATTTTACAAAGTTAAATATATTTACATGTTTTTTTTTCATTTAAACTGCACGAATAATGTAATAGATTGAGGATGCAATGGAAAAATTAACTCACACTATGTTATATATGTATAAATATGTGAACATCAAACGACACTATCTAGTTTACAGGGTAATAAATTATATATGACTATAATTTATATTTAAATATATTGAAGCAATAGTTTTTTAATAATAGTTTGTTTCCATCCTCTCACAAATGCTTTAAATTGGAATTATGTGCGTTTTTAAATTAAAGTTAATGTTTTTTCTTAAATTAGTTGTCCTTTTTAACCACGTCATCTTGAACAGTTTGAGCTGTTGCTGTTTCCTACCAAATAAAGAAATATTAATTAAATTTTAAATGCTTTTAAGTTGATAGGCTTTAGTACCCCATCCGTTGTTTTTGCCGTTTCATCATTTTCATTAGCAGGCGTCAGTTCGTTTTTCTTCTTACCAAAAGCGCACACATTGCCCTTGCATTCAAAGGGAAATTCTGGTGCATTTTTAATTTTTCCATTTTCGTCTTTCTTAGCCCATGGATTCCAGTAACGTAACATAATTGGTTGTATGAATCTGTGCCATATATAGAGCAGAACTGGTATGATGAAGCAAGGTACGCAAACCATTGTAAGTCGTTTGGTAGATCTGAAAGTCGATTTGGAGTTGTTAATTTTCTTATCAATTTTATAACTGAAGCGCGGAAAAAAATTACCTCTAGTGTTGTCAAGAAATTTAATATTTAATTTAATTTTTCTAGTTTAAAATACAAGTTTTTCCCTCAATGACTTGAGAAATTTTTTTTATACATAATGAATAAATTAATTTCTGACAGCAATTTTTCTTATCATGTTTCATTCCATTTGTTTCAGGCTACTGCAAACGCAGGGTTGTTTCTATTGCTTCTGACGTTTTCAACAAGAAACAGCTGTGATTATTAAAAATTTAAACGAATTTTCAGAGCTTGCTAAAATTGTTTTTATATCTACTACAAATGTTGGAAAAAGTAAAGCATGTTATTTTGGTTCTATCTGGTAAAGGTGGAGTTGGTAAATCTACTGTAAGCACACAATTAGCTTTGACATTCCGCGAACATGGACATAAAGTAAGTGCGACGATTAAGTATTTCATCACACATTTGAAAGGTGCACAATTCATATAAGGATCTTTAATATATTCCTATATCTATTATTAGGTTGGACTACTGGATATTGATTTATGTGGACCTAGTGTCCCGTATTTGTTAGGTTTAGAAGGAAAAGAAATTTATCAATGTGAAGAGGGCTGGGTGCCAATATACACAGATGAGAGTAAAACTCTAGCTGTGATGTCTATTGGATTTTTGCTGAAAAATCGCAACGATCCAGTGATATGGCGAGGTCCAAAAAAAACTATGATGATCCGGCAATTCCTAACAGACGTAAAATGGGATGAATTGGATTATTTGATAATTGACACGCCGCCTGGTACATCTGACGAGCATATAACTATTATGGAGTGCATGCGTGAGGTGAAGTGCGATGGAGCAATTATAGTTACTACGCCTCAATGTGTAGCTTTAGATGATGTTCGAAAGCAAATAACATTTTGCAAAAAAACTGGAATTAATATTTTAGGCATTTTAGAAAATATGAGCGGGTAAATATGGAGCTAATTACAGCATTCCTATTAAATCAAAATTTAATTTCTTATTCGTTTATTTTGTAGTTTTGTGTGTCCACATTGTACATCATGTACAAATATTTTTTCATCCAATGGCGGTATTGAGCTGGCAAAATTAGTTGGTGTACCACATTTAGGCACATTACCCATTGACCCTCGCGTTGGAGTGCTCCGCGGAACGACACAAGCAGTGGTTTCAGAATTACCTGATTCGTCATCGGCAGATGCTTTTAATTTGTTAGTAAAAAAAATAACCGTTGAACGCGTTTAATTTAATTTTCACATTAATTCCATTTTTTGTATTAATAACTTCTATATAAATATAAAAAATATTTTTGTCAATGTGATGTTGAAATAATTAAATTTTATCCAATTAATATAAAAAATTAAACATTCAAGTGGAACCAAATTCGCAACAAAATGATATAGCTAATTGTTTGTGGAATGCGTGCCTGTAGTATTTACAAAAATTGAGAATCCTAAATTCTATAAATTTTACTTTATTAAGATGGAGCACATATACGCTTAAAAGTATAGCCAAAGAATTTTGTATTAGTTTAGGGGTTTATCAAGTATTTTAATAAAATAATTTCCAAGTTTGTCGGAGAATTGATCAAAACAAAAATCAATTGTACTAGCAGCCAACTTATGGAAACGTATTGATATAGCGATATAGCGAGTGATGCGATTGTTTATTGTTCAATTCGAAGAACCATAATTCATAATAGAGATTGTTGTTTACCTGTAGTGTATACATCTTATTTTTACACTACATACAATTAGTCGTGTCCATTTATGACTTTGTCACAGTAGAATACTTTCTTATCTTTATGTATTCGGTAAATGTTAGATGTATGGTTCATATACTTCTTCAATCAAAAAAGGCAAATTTCGATTGTAATCATTTATAGTCTTTTTTTACTCAATCAAAAATACGACAGTTAACTTAGTTTATTGTTAAATATGTATATCCTTCAAACACTTTTCTTGGAGAGACTTAGTAGCAGAGAAAAAGTAAGACAGTTAGAAACACAAATGAAAACAGTAGATCATATCTAATAGATCAAAAGTTAAGACAAGAAATTGTAAAAGTAACGCCATAGATTGTTAAGAATATACCCTATTTCCATATTCATGATGTGGCTGACATAGATCGAGTTAGTCTGCAAAGTATAATTCCAAATACATTGCATATAAAATACATGGATGTAAGGTGCATTTAGTGTTTTTTTTTTTCAAAGACAACAGCTTTTATTAATTGTGATTATCGCGTGGACATTATATATATATGTTTACTCTCCGGTAGAAATGATCAAAGTTTTAATTTCGTAAAATTGCTATTGTCGCCGTGATCTAAAGATATTTTCAAGTAAGGTAAGACGACCGGTACTTGGGCATCTGTGCAGATGAGTGTTTCCAAATATAGGACTAATATAGTCATTTGTTCTTCAATATGCACAGTTAACTATTGTCTAATTTTGAATAATTATAAGCTTGGTATGTACTGGAGCAATGGTTAAATTCGTAAAAAACATATTCTGTTCGAAACTTTGATGCTCCTGCAGATTATAACTATATTTAGTAGCTGAATTACACTGATGACTGTGTTCAGTACAGGCATTGCGAAGTCAATAGTGCACCTGGTTAGGAAGTTCTGCTAATTTTTCATTGCATTTAAAAATAAGGACTTGCATTATAGTTTGACTACAAAAACTATACATATGTGTATGTAAACATATTCAGGCCTATTCTGAATACTCCCAGGGAACAAAACTCCCTATTCCCACGCAGTTCCCGAACACACAACTCCCTTATTCTGAATTGCCTGGGAGACAGGAGTTCTGGGAACAACAGTTTCAAATTTGTTTTGTTAAATTTTGGCAACCATGCCACTTTTTAATGACGAAAAGTGAGAAAATGAGCAAAACAAAGAAAAGAATTGCGTTTCATATGTTGATTTAAATTATTAGAAATATATATAAATAATTTTATAAGTGATTAATGAAAAACTTTTATTTTAATGAGAAAAATAAACATATAAAAAGAATTGTGCAGTTGTTGGTGTTCTTATATAAAAAATTTTCAAAAACTTTAAAAATGCATTCAATTACATTTCGAATATTAGCGGAGGATTTGGCTCAAGAACACGAGCAAGAAATTTTGCAACATAGGATCAACAGAGGATTTGAGCTGCCTAATTTCTTGCAAGTACAAATGTAAATTTAATTTGGTATTAAAATAAATTTTTTTTTTATTATAGATTTCAAAAATATTACAGAGTAAATAAACCAGCGTTTATTTACCTGTTAGAGGAACTTACTGAGGAACTACAGCCAGCAAAGAAGCAGTTTGAGCAACGTCTTCTTTGCTCGCCTTATGGAAACCGCGAGCGACATCTGCATTAGTTTCCATTAACTGCAACAGGATTTTCAATTGCATTTTATTCGCGTTTTTAGCCCTGTGTAAATATCACATTTAAATATTGTTACGATTATTCCCACGCTTCGTTCAATATCACTGGATCCTGATAATTGATTTATGTTAAACTTGTATTAATTATAACCGTTACTTATATTTTAAAACACACACGCTTTATTCCTCAAAAATCACCAACAACATTTCAAAACTTATTTCCTAACTAACTGACATAATTCAAAATTATCTCAGTTAACTTCAATCGAATTGTATCTTCGCAACAATATATTCGCAAAATTAATTATTATTGGTTACTTACATGTTAAATTTAACTCTTTTCTAAATTTTTAACTTTTTTTTAACTAATAAAAAAAACAACCTTACGTTGTGATAGCAATTCTTCAATGTCTTTATTTTCAAACATTCACTGCTTTTATACAAAACTTACTTAAATTATAATTTAATTTTTTTATATAATTGGGATAGAAATGTCCTTCATGCTTCAATTAATGAACTAATAATAGTTTATACCTGTGCAGATCTTATATGGCGTTTACATTGGCCGAAAATGGCTCATTTTGAATGAGCCATTTGAAAGTGTTTACATTCGTTGTATTTCATTTGTTCTCATTTCAACAGCTGATTTTTCAACTTGCATGTTGATTTGATTTTTGGCCTGTGCCAAAAAAATTTTGCATGAAGGTCAAATATGCCTTCAAACCTTACATTAGAAACTTAAAACATATTTTTAACTTCGATTAATTACTTTTTGAGAAGTAAAAGTTCTAAAAAGCAGTGCATCGTTTTCAAGAAAATGCAACCACCAAACATTTGTTTACCTTTTTTTGTAAATATGTTAAAAACAGCTTTCTCAAACTGTCAAAATGCCATGAAAAGCTTTCATTTAGGGTGTGTTCAATGTAATCCTTTGCATTTGGAACGTATGTGGAATGCATTCGAACGTCATTCATACAGAATGTGAGAAAATTGCTCATTTTTGTGCTTGAAATTTTATATGCAAGAATGAGCCATTCGACACTCATTTTCGATTTTTGACCAAAATGAGCCATTTTCGGTCAATGTAAACGCCGTATTACAGTAAAAAAGAAGCAATGTTTTACCTGTACATAATTGCAGTTTATTTTAACTTATTCTAGGAATCCATTTATTTCAGAATTTGGTTTCCTTTCATTTTTCTATTGTTTTAAAAACAATAGTTATGAATAAAATAAATAAATAAAAATTTAAATATTTCAAATTTGTTATACTTTTATTAAAATAGTAATTTTAATAAAATATATTAAATGAAAATTTTGTTATATTAAATTTATTAAAATAATTTTATTAAAATATATTCGGAAAACTAATCAAAAAATAAAACTTTGAAAATATTAAATTTATTGTAATAATTTTATTATAATAATAATTTTATTAAAATATATTCAAAAATCTGATCATTTTAAGTTACTTTTATATTAAATTAAACCATTTTTAATACTTTTTTAACTTGTGTTCCCAACAATTTGGTAGGGAAAGAATTTGTGCAAAATTGGGAAAAACTCCCATTCCCATGCGATTCAGAATAGCAAAATTGGGAACAGGGAACAAAACTCCCATTCCCAATTTATTCAGAATAGCAAACTTGGGAACAGGGAACAAACTCCCATTCCCATGCGATTCAAAATATGCCTGATTGTCTAATATCATTACTTTTATTATTTATTATTATATGACATGCAGTTATATGAGTTATATACTAATTTATAATATGCAGCATCCTCGATTGAGTTCTCTTAACTGAAATTTATCTTATCTTTATCCTATTTTTTAGTTTCGTTGGCTTAAAAAGAGTTTAATTTTTAGATTTGTTGTACAAAGCTAACCTATTTTTTCTCAACAATTAAGTAAGACTGACTATATATATTTTCTTTCTATACTATATGAATATATAAACTATATTAATTTACATCGTACTAAGATATAAGATATGAAGATTGTGTAATATTATTTAGTTAGGATTCTTAACATTTCCCAGTTACTTACCTAGGTAGATAGGTAAGTAGTTGTTCGAATCAGATCTTATATAGACTATATAGTTACGTAGCGATGTCAGATAAAAGTCCTTTAACGTAGTTTATAAAAGTACATATTATTTAAAGATGTATATGTCATAAGCGATTTTATAAAGATATAGTTGACTTCAATATATGGGAGAAAATTCAGCCTCTCAAAACTATTAAAGATAAAATAATTATTTTCCCAAAATAAACTTATTTTTCTTTTTCAATTTTAAAATTATTTATTGAATCTTTCATTTAGAAACTAACAATAAGTGGATCAAATCTTAAAATTAAATTTATTTTTTCCTTAGGACATTGTTTTGAAAAACTATTGAGACATTAAATAATTTGAAATAAAATTAAATTAAAATCAAACAAATCAAATTAAAAAACAAAAATTAGATTTAATTTAATCAAATAAAAATTTATAAAAGTTTAAATCAAATAAAAACTAAGTAAAGTAACGTTTGTGACCTTTGTGATCTAACTTTTAAAGGTACTGACGGCTAGATCGAGCAGCTTCTTCTATTACTGTTGGTACGCTCAAGTCTCTATGAAGGTTAACATTTTTTATAAACCATGGTGGACCTGTTTATTTTCAACCCAGACAAAATAAATTTATAAAAAAAAATTTTCAGTCAGCGAGATTAGATTTAATTAGATTAGATTTCCAGTTTATATTATGTTCTACATTAATATGAAATTTTATTATTTTATAATAAAATTTCTTTACCATGAGGGAGCTAGAATGAAATACTGTAATTTATTTTTGACGTGCGATTTCTTGTTTGTCCTGTATTTGTGCTGGAGAC